GAGTTGTCATTCCAAAACCGCTGCGCACACCCGTCCTGAAGGCGTTACACGAGGGGCACCCTGGCATCGTCCGGATGAAAGCGTTGGCTCGGAGTTACGTCTGGTGGCTGGGCATGGACGACGAGATCACGAAATGGGTAAGCTCCTGCCGCCCCTGTCAAGAATCCAGGCCAGCACCACTGATCACCACCCCAACCAAATGGGAAAGTGCCAATGCACCGTGGTCACGGTTGCACATTGACTTGGCCGGGCCCTTCCACGGCAAGACCTTCCTGGTGGTCGTGGATTCGTTCTCCAAATGGATCGATGTGGCTCTCCTACCCACAACCACCACCCGAGCAATTGCCCAGGCTCTGACCCGCTTATTTGTTACACACGGTCTGCCTGACACCATAGTCTCAGACAATGGCCCCCAATTTACGTCCACAGAATTCAGCCGGTATGCCACCAACCTGGGCATCCGGCATATCCTAACGGCCCCTTTTCATCCCGCTAGCAATGGGTTGGCGGAGAGAGCCGTTAGGTCAGCAAAAGAGGCGTTGGCAAGATTCACTCAAGACGACTGGCACTCCAGACTCTCTCGCTTTCTTTTAAGCCAACACTCGACCCCATGTACTGTCACAAACAAGTCCCCAGCCGAATTACTGATGGGCAGACGTCTAAGGACAGTGCTAGATAGACTGCATCCCCACTATTGCCCAGACACACCAATTGGTTCTAACACTAGGGTCAGGAGTTTTGTATTACAGGACCAAGTTTTTGTCAGGAACTACACAGGCGATCCCCTGTGGGTACCTGGGGAAATCGTGGCCATCACCGGTCCAAGGTCATACCGCATCCAGTTGGGGGACGGGCGTATCTGGCGGAGGCATCTGGACCAGATAAGGAGTCGCCGGGGCGAACATGCCAACGCTGACCCAGGGACTCCAGTGACTCTCCAATCGCCGCACCCGAATCCTAGCTGGGACCTCCAGAGTGACCAGTCTCCACCAGCCGAGTCGAGGGAACAGACGGTAGACCGGGACCGTCCTACAGAGTCATCAGCCGTACCACCTGACGACACCACCGGGTTGCGTGACAATGACAATTTAACAATCCAACCCGAGGACTGTGACCACTCCCAGTCTCCAGACCGGACCCCAGATCGACCCTGTTGTCCGGCAAAGCCAGTTCCTGACTCCCAGAACTCTATGCCACTTTGTGCATCGCCAGAATTGCGCCGGTCGGGGCGCTCACACAAACCACCCGCTTACTTAAAGGACTATTCGTGTTCGTATCTAGGGGGAAGGGGTGTTATGTCCTCGGGACTGACACAAGTTCCCCATCCGGTCCGTTCATCCTGCGGGGGCGTTTGCAGCCCCCATTGGCTGGCTCCCTTCGACAGCCGGCTATAAAAGCCGGCTGCTAGGTCGAGCCAGCCGCTATTCGCTGGAAGGTCTGTTGTTAGCATGCAGACGCGACAGCCCCCTTTATTCCCTGAATAAAGCGTGTTATTGATATGCTCTGGTGTGGCCTCCCCTTTTTCTCGAACTTAACAGGAAGAATGCCTAGTCACCTGCAGTACAGAAGACAATAGGATGAAAGCAAACATTTACAAAGTTTGCTAAGAAATTGCCTCCTGTTACACTTTTTCTGTCTCAGCACTTGGCTAAGGTTGATTGCAGCAGAAACAGTAGAGCATCCAGATTAATTCTTTGAAGAAAGACCTCTAAGAAATAACCAGTAAAGTACCTAATCCTTGGTCAAAGGCAGTGAGGCACTGCTTCCTTCCAGACTGTAGCTAAGAATATTGTATGGGTCTACAAAGCAGGAGTCCTATTCAAAGCAGAGTGTATGTCATAGTAGTTTTGCAGGTAGAGATGTGTAATCAGGCAAAGAATATCATACTCTAGAGCCAGGATATTCCTGATGTGAGATAGCTGATTATGCTTTTTTTCTCCAGGTTGTGGAGAAAATTTTCCCAGATCACACTATTGCAGTGTGTTATACTTGCACAGGAAAGAAAAAAAAAATCCGTTTGATTTTCCCTTTTCATTTTTTGGATCAGCAATCCTATTTATAAATGAGTAACACGAGTGTTTTTTATTACATGCTTGTAGCTTGCTTGCCTCTTATACCATGTTGCATTTTTCCTATAGTGCAATGGTGGTGAATCTATAGCATGCGTGCCAGAGGTGGCACTCAGAGCCCCAGCCCAGCTCCATCACGTTTCTCCATCGTGTTTCTCACCCTCTCACCAATGTGGGAGATGGGGTCCCTCCTCCTGGAGCCCATTACGACACGGAGCCACTATGCGACTCTGCGTTGTTGTGGGCTCACTTCCGCTTCCCGGATGTCAGTTGCTTTTCCTGCAGAGCTGCTGGTTGTTATGGTGCCCTGCCTCCCCGCTGGCCAGCTGGTGCCCATCAGTGCATTGTCCCTGGGATTCCCATGACCCAGCACCAGTTCAGGGATTCCTTTCCCCACCCTGAGGAGAGGGGGGGAGGGAGAAGAGAGAGAGAGAGAGGGAGGGAGAGAGGAAAGGGATGGAAAGAGAGAGAGGAGGAAAGAGAGAGAGGGGACACACACACACACACACACACAGAGGAAGGGATGGAAAGAGGGGGGAAGAGAGAAATGGAAAGGAAGGGAAAGAGAGAGGGAGGAAGGGACAGAAAGAGGGGGAAAGAGAGAGGGGGGGATGCAGAGAGAGAGGGAAGGACGGAGGGACGGAAAGAGAGAGGGGGAAAGAGAGAGAGAAAAACAGAGAGAGACAGAGGAGGGAGGGAAAGAGAAAGGGAGAGGGAGGGGAAAAGAGAGAAATGATACCACAAAAGTTTTTCTTTTTTTATTGTTGCTAAACACTATTTCAAAAGCAGAAAAAAATGAAGGGGCATAAAAGTGCATTTATAACATTTTTCTTAGAACAGTTAGCTTAACTCTGCTTTTTTTAATCATTATTTTAGGTAGTAAAACCTCAGTATTCAGGTTAAATTGCCATGTTGGCATTTTGCGATAAATAAGTGGGTTTTGGGTTGCAGTTTGGGCACTCGGGCTCTAAAAGGTTCGCGATAGTGGGACATTGATGATTATTGGTTTTGCCTATCCAGAACTTGACAGAAAGAAGAAAAGTCACACAGAAAGCCACTCTTTTGCACAGAATCATAAAGCCATGTCAAATGGTGAAAGAAAGTAATCAGTTTATGTGCTGTAATTCTGACTAGATTTATTCTGCATATGTTGCGTGTATATGGCTTCAGACCTCTCTGTCTGGATGATTGAGAATCTCCATTGACATTAATGACAAGAAGCATAGATTTGATCATTTGTAGTAACTGTGTGCATTTATTCCCTCTTAATCTTCCCAACTACTTCAAGGCAAGCAACTAATTTCCTCCCTTTCCCCTTTCCTTCCCTTTCCTTTTCTTTTTCTCTTTCCTCATAAAACAAGGTCATAATCAATCATAAAATGAATCTTCCCTCCTTTTGGTTGTTTTCTCTATCCTTTTACAATCTGGATATCTAGTCCTTGATTCTATATTTTATCTATTGGTTCAGGCAAGCCATTCAACTTCTTTTTTGACTAGAATAAATGGCAGACAATCTTACAAATTACAGAATAACAGAGTTGGAAGGGACCTTATAGATCATCTAGTCCAACCCCCCACCAAAACAGGAGGTCCTATGCCATTTCTGACAAATGGCAGTCCAATTCTTCTTGAAACTTCCAATGATGAAGCTGCCACAACTTCTGAAGGCAGAGCTGTTCCATTGGTTGATTGTTCTCACTATAAGAAAGTTTCTCCTTATTTCCAGGTTAAATCTCTCCTTGTTCAGCTTCCATGCATTATTCCTTGTCTGGCCTATAGGAGCTTTAGAAAATAGCCTGACTGCCTCCTCTCTGTGGCAGCCCCTCAAATATTGGAAGACCACTATCATGTCTCCCCTGGTCCTACTCTTCACTAGACTGGTTCTTACCCTCTAACTGTTCTATTCCAACAACACAGATTCAACTATGAGTTCCTCTCTTTTCATAATATTATTGCATCTGCTGTGATTTGTCTACTAATGCAAATAAATATCAGACTCTTTATTATTTGATCATAAAACTGATGTTCTAAAATTAATACCAATAGTGTTATCTGTGTCAATGATTCTTACAAAATTAAGTAAGGCATAATACAGTTGTTTGTGATTTTCAATGTGCTTTTGGTCCTGGAGAGAAAGATACATATGAACCATAAAGTAGCATTGCCCCATCTTGAGAAAGGAAACCCAAAAGCCAAAACATAAGATATAGTTCAATAAAATTCATGTATGCTTATTTCAATAATGCAAGCATTTTAGGAATTCTGAATAGAAATGTTCCAAAAAAATGGAAGATTAGAAAAGTGACTTCTAGGTTTTCTACACATAGACAAATTGCCTTTAAAAAAAAGTTATATTTTACCAAACATGGAAATGTTCCAAGTAGAATGGTGAGTGCTAAAAAAACTTGGAGTATAATCAAGGGTAGGAAATGTTGCTGAAAATGACATTTGTTTATAAGTAACTAAAATCTTAACAATTTTGATAATTAATTTTTTTAAAAGACTTTAGACAGAATCCCGTAGCAACTGTCCATGGAACTCATCCCATAACATTAATTGTAATGCTATTAATTAGAAATATGAGAACGGCCGTAGGTGCTTTGAAAAATTTAACTCTTAAGAGAGATTAACTTAATGGAAGTAATATTTTCTCTTCTCTCTTCCACTAAGCAACCTTATAGATCATCCTGCACTATTCAGCTACAAAGCTCTGAGAGGCACAAGTGACTGCAAAGGAAAGATAAACAGATAAGAAATTCATCTTTTTGAATGTCCTTGATAATGCAAACCTACATTTATTTGCCTATCAGTTCCAGAGCATTCACCCAAGTAAATATTTATTATAATGCAAGCTCAGCTCATTTCTGACAAAGACAAGCCATTCACTTTGCTGAGATATGATCTCCAAGCAGTCACTTTTTGACCTCAAAGCAGTTCTAGAAGCCCAGTAGAACAGGTAACTATTATAGCCCATTCAAGTAATATTTGCAAGATATAAGCAAGATTGAAGAACTCTACTGTCTATAAGTTTCACTGTATCATCACCAAAGAACTGATCTTCGCTAGCAGAAATCTTCTTTATATGATTGTTCCCACACGGTCTATTATGCAGGACCTATGGGGAACTTTAGTTAGTTTAGTTTAGTTTAGTTCTTTAGTTATGTCATCAGTTAGACTTAGTGATGGAACTGCTTATTACTGTTTGTGAGTTGAAGTCTACCTTTAATCTATCCCATGAACAAGAAAGACTCTTACTTATTTTAGAGATGTTGCATGCCTACCTTTGCTATAACCAAACAAATATATTTTTGATACTGTGAATGACAGAGAGGATTATTTTGGCCAAATACCAACTCACAGACAGAACTTCTAATTCCAGCATAACTTGGGGCAATTACTGTATATCTGATATGTAAAGACATCCTATAAGTAGTTTCCCCATACATACCGCCCTAGAGACACACGGTTAATGTTAAGTCTAATAATATATACTATTTATTGTATACTTAGTTATTTTAAAACTCCACATATTGAGACAAACAGATTTCCTACAACAAGCCATATGACAAAATACTTTCCAAGCAGTAGAGAACATCAGAAGAAAAAAAGACACCCACTTAAAAGCTGCTAGTGTCAAGCCATTCTTTTTTCTGCTTTTGCCCATATTTAAGTGATACAAACTTTGCTACAAAAATGAGTGGGGAAAAGGGGAGGGTAAAAAAAAAAGGGAGGGTAAAAATTTACGTTGTCAGAGTGAGTTGCCTATAAAAGCTGGCCAAATTACAAATATTATGTTCAAGAATATGCTTCAGCTTTGAGATTATATTATATATCCAGCTGGAATGCAGAAAGTAATAATAATAATAAAAAAAACTGTAGTAAAATTATGTATAGCAATTTAGCTGTTGGAAACAGAAAATCCAAATGGATTCTTGTTCGGTTCTTGCTGGTGATAAAAATATAATTGGTAACAAGTTAATATGTGATAGTTCCCAATCTGCCATCTTCATTAGGCTATCTCATTCTGTGAGTACTGCTTCTTTTAAAACATTTCCATAGGGGATTTAAATTGTATATGTATAATTTGGATGGATATCAGGATTGATGTCGTACACTTTGCCTAATAGATTACCAAGCACATTCTCTCTGTTCTTGTGAAAATTATTAGTGAGACTTTGGATTTTTGCTGCAGTTTCTTCATCTATTTTTGTTGATAGATTATCATGAGAGCCCATTATCTGCAAAGACAAAACAAGGTATAATATGTAAAGTAAGCAGAAACATTTATGCAAGTTTCAAAACAACTCATGTTCAAATCTCTCTTTGTGATTTGTATATTCTTTTAACAGCAGGATGCTGTTATTCAAAAAGTCCTTTCTTAGGTAGTTCTCTCTCTTGCCACCTTGCCTCTTGTGGGGGTCTAGGATTATGGGATAGAGAGGCTTGTGTTGTGTATATCTATCTCTCTGAACCTGCCAAAGGCAATCGTTTTCTGTCCAGAAAAGAAGCAAAACAATAGAAGATAGTGAAGTTGTTCTAAGACTGTCTACAAAGCTCATGCACTTTGCTACCTTGTGCTAAATTACCAATGGTTAAATTACCAATTTAGTATCACAAGCTAAATTGGTTTCAGGGAATTACTAATCAAGGAACCACCAAGAACACTCTCACCAACACTGACAGGGAAAGCTACTAATACAGGGGTCCCCAACCCTCAGGCCATGGATTGCCACCGGTCCACAGCCCACCAGGAACTGTTCCATGCAATTGAGTGAAGGCCTTTCTGTACATGTTGAGGATGCAGGCATCATGTGAAACCACACTCTTCCAGTCCATGGAAAAAACGCTCTCCACGGAATCAATCCCCGGCACCCAAAAGGGCCATAGCATTAGTGTATAAAAAGAGAACCAACAAATCCTACATTTTTCTAGGACTTATGTTATCTAGGTGGGTAATAAAACATCTTCAACAAAACAACCAAGCTAAACAACCAAGCTCAGCGGTGACCAAGGATCCCATGTTTCAACCCTGAGTTTGGTAAACACCCAAGCCATGTACCTAATGTTCCAGTGTCCTATTCCATCTAGAAGGCATACCAGTTTGGTCATCAATGGTTAATTGAACATTGATTGACATGATTATACCTTGCACTTTCCATACCTTATAATTACATTTACTCATATATAGTGCTATCCTTAACTAAGCAACATTTTATGATTTCATTACTTCATCAGTATCAGTTAGTAAAATACGCCTATTACCCACTCATTGGAATAACTTAAGCTTTAAATTCTGGCACATTTTTATATGTACTTTAACTCAAAAAGATATGTTTTGTCTGTCTTTTTTTACAGAAAAGGGTCAACTTATAAAATTTGAAAAATGGTGAAAAGGAAAATATATCCATCCTAATCTGCATATTAGTGTAAATAATTAACTTCACTACATCAAAATGTAGACTGAATTAAATCATCAGGCACCTTTTAGTGATATATAGTTTCACATTATAGCTTGAAAAATAAATAATGGGAGGTATTGGTGGATTACTATTAGATTTCATGAAGATGAATTGGCAAAAATAATCAATCCTGTTGTAATGATGTTTCATTAAATAATTATATAAATTAGAGGTGCAGATCAAATATGGACAGGTGTCTGAACCAGACCCTTTGTTTGTGTGTGTGTGCTTGATGATGATGTTCCCAAATTTTGACATGTGTTCTACACAGAAGGGTTTATTATAATTACACAATTAATTATGCTGTTCTAAAACACTTATTTTTATATATAAAAACCCTCTTGTTTTGAAAACATATTGTCCTTGTAATCTAATTTGGCAAGTTTGAGTCTATTAAAATGCTGTTTCAATATAATTTTGATTCAGTTGTTCTTCCATGCTAGACAATGAAATAATAAAAACTCTGCTTTAATCTTATTCTAGATTTAGAAACATGAACGCGTAGGATTATTTGTGATTATTTTTATGAATGCAAGTTACCAATCCTTTTCAAGTATATAAGTAATAAAGAAATGTACATGTTTCATTTCCATACCTACTATGTAAAGCAAATCCATAATTGATGATGTGCCATCAGACCATTGTTGATTCTTAATTACAATGCAGGTAGATCTTTCCCATGACAATTTGCCCCTAACTTGGTACTTTCAGGCATACCAACAGTGCAGTCATTACCACTGTAACTAAATAATACTAATTCTACTATCCCTAAGTAATACTAGTATAAATGTTGATGGGATCATAAGAAATGATGAATCTACTAAGGCAGGTACCAATCTTCATGCTTAAGCAAGATTTGAGTTTGGTTACATTTCATGAAGTCTGGCACTGTTCAGCCAGCTCTCCATTGATTTTATCTAGTTTGAAGCCCAGAGGAAACTGAGAGAGAGTTTGATGTAGTAGTTAAGGTGTTGGAAATTTTTAGACTGTGAGGCCACAGACATGAAAGTTGATTGGTAACTTTGGACAAGTCACTTTCTCTCATCCCAACCTACCTCACAGGGGAGGTGTTGTTGTTGTGAGGAAAATAGAAGGAGGAAGATGTATTAGGTCTCAACTTCTCTGTCTTGATTTAGGTCTAGTTTTAGATCTCTGAGGGGCAGTGTGGTATAGTAGTTTAGATCCTGGGTAGGTCCAGAGTTACTCAGGTTCAGATTTATCTTCAGCCATAGACACTCAGCTCCATTTACCTCACAAAGTTGTTATTGCAAGCAAATAATAATAAGAGGAAGTACCAAGTATGCCACTTTGACCTCATGAAAGAGAGGTGAGACATAATCAATCAACGTATATACATATTTTTTTAAAAAAACTATACACAATGTAAGGGAAGTCTCTCCCAAGGCATCACATGGTTAATCTGGGCTGTAAAAAAGAACTTGATTTATTTTTTTTTCTGGTATTTTATTGTGGGAATTGAGGAAAAGTAAAGTAAATTCCCTGAACAGTATGCACAGGGTTGGGGTTTTGTGATTATTATTTTTTAATTAACTAAATATTTGACACATTGTGGTGGAAACAACATTGACCTACCATTTAATTAAATGATATTTCTATATCAATTGAACAATTTAGCAAGGTGATGTTATAAACAGATGCATACATTCCAAACTGTGACTCCTTTCTTTTAGTTTTGTGCTTCCTTTTCACACAAATTTAAATATTTTAACCTTACAGAATTCTGAGTATAATACTTGGGAATTGCTGCCAAATATGTGGGCAAACCCTTTCATCATTCTTTATTTTTTCAGAGGAGACCTTCAAGAATGATTAATATGAAAGATAATAGATATAAAATTAAATTTTCTACTCATTGATTTCTTTAATGCATAAAAACAGTGGGTTCTTATGAACTTAATCCTCAGCCAGGGATCACATTGATCTTTGGGAAATAGGCAACCTAATTTCAAAAGCTCATTGTTTCAGTCAGTTGAGATAGCTGGTGAGAATAGTCAGCTTCTCTGTAAGATGGGCCAGATCAGGAAATAGCCTCCACAAGAAATTTTGAGATAGGTGTTATTGAGATAGATCATAGTAACAGAATCTTGCAAATCTCCTAGTATTTAACCTTTCCTCCTTCTTATGCCCTCCTTGAATCAAGCAAGGAGCCAGGCTTGATATTATTAAGATAATATCTTAATATTATCCCCTTTCCTGGGATTTAAGGAATGTTTTTGGAAATAGTAACAACAACAACAACAATATTAATAACAACAACAACAACAACAACAACAACAACAACTGTACAAGGAAATGCCAGAGTCGAAGAAAAAGAACTGGAAAAAAATCATGAAATATTGTGACCTGGCCATCGAAACTTGATACCGTGTCCAAGAATTTTACGAAACACATCAAGAAATTGCAGCTTCCTGCAATAACATCAGTGGAACTGGAAAAAACTGTGCTACTCGGAACATTGTATATTTTAAGAAGATACTTGGTTGATACCTAGGATGCTGGCAGCAATCCGTTTCAACCATCAGCACCAGTCACTGGTATTTGTAATACATTTTTAAATGTTCAGTTGACTGAGTTTCATGTTTAATGAATAAAAGGCATAATAATAATCATCATCATCTATATTTGGTATTATTTACCTAAAATGAGCATATCAGGCCTAATGCTTAAGCTTGTTACTTTCTCAGTAAAGGAATGTGTTCATTTCACACATTGTCTGTATAAATAGCCAATACATGTAATTTACAGGTGTGGAAACATAATCACAGTAGGATTCAAGAATCTGAATTGTGATGAAATGTAGGCCAGAGCTGCAGGACAGAGGGTCTTTTTCCCAGGAAGAAAGAGACAAAGAAGCATTGAATCTTTGATATAACAGAAAGAGAGTGAAGGCGGACTCCCCCTAGCGGTTCTCAGGGAATATTTTGTAGTTATATTGATAAGCGCTTTAGTTTGGCAAGATTTCTGTCTATAGGCGAAGAACAATATTCTGAAGTAATTCAGTATATTGTTCTTGGTTCTTTGGGCCTGACAGATTACACAAAATGTAAAACAATTCTTAGTGTGTATCATTCCTGCTTTTCCTAGATTGTGATTTCAGATACTTGATTTTCATCTGCCATCAGCCCTAGCTAGCCTAGCCCATGTACTAGTCAGAAAAATCTGGAGGACTTCAAGCTAGAGAGATTTCAATGATGTAATTTTCCCTTGATATTCTTACCACCTTTCCTTGATAGTCTTACTTACTTTGGAATGCTTCCATCTGAAATCTTTTTCTCTCTGGAGCCTATAGTGGTCTATCTCTGCTATGGCTTCTTCCTTGGCTTGCTTCAGTCTCTTTCCTTTTCCTGAAAAAATGAGACATGCCATTTTAACTGGATTATTTTGTACATGTCATTTATTTAATGCAGGAGGTCAGATAAAATTAAAATTCTTTAGTTCAAGAACACTTTGTTCATTATCCTCTTTCCTTCAGCACAACCCAGACAAGAACCCCAAAGTTAACTTTCTTGCATTTCATCTGCTTTCTCCTTACAGTAGAAGAAATCTCACTGCCAAATTTGTCCTGCCAAGATACGGTGTATAACCTTATTTGTATGTAAAGGTGATGACCCGGAAATAGGTTGTCCAATAAAAAGAGATTTTTGTTTCTAATGTGAAAAACTGAATAAAATTTGTTTAAAAAAAAAGTTAAGGGATATATTAAAAATAGAAAAGTAAATCCACATAAATACTCATATGCAGTGATGAGATACATTTTTTTTTACTACCAGTTCTGTGGGCGTGGCTTGGTGGGCATGGCAGGGGAAGGATTCTGCAAAATCTCCATTCCTAACCCACTCCAGGGGGAGGATACTGCAAAATCCTATTCTCTCCCCATCCCACTAACCTGCTTTCCAGCTCCATTCTCCTGTGCAGGGCAACAAAAGAAGAGCAGCTGGACTCAGGAGGCAGAGAATAGATGGGGGTGGGGTCAGTCAGAGGTGGTGTTTGCAGGTTCTCTGACCTACTCAAAATTTCCACTACCGGTTCTCCAGAACTGGTCAGAACTGGTCAGAAGCTGCTGAACACCACCTCTGCTCATATGCATATCATACATTGTTTTACAAGTGAGGACAGCTTGTATTTTATTTTTATTTTTATTTCAATCATATTGTGGTCACTGCTGGAAAAGGGTTCTTTAGTTTGTATTCCGTCAATTGAATTCGAACTATTGCAGAAGTTGAGATCGAGGCAGTTGTTTAGTCTAGAGTTGTTGTTCTAGTCCCAGATTTGTAACAGCATTGTAGAAGGTTGCGTGTATGGTTTCAGTTGTACATTCATTTAGGGTCCAGTCAATATGAGGTAGATTGAAATCACCAACAAAGATAAAAGGGTATGGGCAGGATGCTGCCCATGTTAGTAGTGTATTTAGCTTGTTTACATGTTCGATGTCATAATCAGGGGCTCTGTAACATAGTAAGAATCGAAATGTGATATTTAAGGATAGTTCACAGATGATGGTCTCAGGAAGAGCAAGCTCCTGGGTAACTTGGATATTTTTTAGATGTAAGGACTTTTTATAGAAGATAGCAACACCACCTTCTCTATGAATTTCACGATCTGATCAGTAAACATGATAGTCTCTTACTGTGGTAATGGAGTCAGGGAGAGATGCGTTGAGCCATGTTTCACAGACAAATACGATGTCGAATTTAGCCATTTTTAGTAAGAGGAAAAATTCAGGTATTTTATTCGCAAGGCTTCTTGCAATTTAAGGCCAGCAGTAGTTGGAATTCAGGTAGTTAGGGGCGTGCGTGTCACAAAGCATCGCTTGTTGAAATGTGGACTTCTTATATGACCTGAACTTTTAATGAAATATTTCTTTTTGTTTTTTGCAATAGTCAGAGAACAGATTGTAAATGCTGTTGTCAAGAAAAGGCATCATTCTCCAAGATTTGCCTTACTGATTTGCTGACAGGAACCCTTCAGTTTGCAACAATTGAATTCTGTTAAACTCTGGCATAAATCCAAACCAATATAATGTTACATCTCAGATCCCTAAATTGCAATATTTACATTTATTGAATTTCCTCCTCCCTTTTGCTATTGTTTCCTGGATGGAAAGGTGGGGGGGAATAATAACACACATTTCGAGCACTAACACGTTGTAGACATGAAGGAAAAGGTAATGTCAGAGTCTAGTGACTCATTTCATAATAAGGGTAATATGACAATAGTGATATCTTGCTGATTTTTAAGTATTAAAATAATGCTTAATATCTTGGTCTTGCAAATTCCAGTTTAGTCAGGTGTTTAGGTATTCACTAATTTATATGGATTAATCATTCCACCTAAAGCTGAAGTGTTAAAGTGAATTCTATGAGGTATTTAGCTCCATATGATGTTCTCTTAGATATGTAGCTTCAGTACACAGAAGAGAAAGCCCCTTTGCAGATGCTAAAGGGGGTTGTGCATTAATTTACGAAAGTATTGAAGCAACTAAAGGAGTAACTGTGCCTGGACAGGTTCTAATCTAGAAGATAAGCCAGAAGGAGAAGAATTAATGTTGTTATACAGAGATTCCACTTCTGTCTAATTTAGATAAGACAAAAAGGGTGATGGGAACAATTCTGAAAGTATTCATTGCCCCCTACTTAAGTTATAATATCCTCCAATTCTTGAGCTTTGTCTAAAAATGTATGTAAAATTTATAAAAAGCACCTTTCCTCCAATAATCACATTCTGAAGAAAAACACAGCTTCTGAAAATTTGCAGAATTCTCTCCCTTTAAGAATCTAGAATGCGCAGAATTTTAGAGAGATTGGCAGTATTCTATGTACTTTATGTTTATAACAGCAAAGACCTGCCACTAGGAATAACACTCAATAGTTTCAAGTTTTCAACTTGCTTTGCAAATAGCCCAGACTACACAGCTTGAATTGTTTCATACTACGGAGGAGGTGATAATGCAAGGATGCTTTTCCATTCCAGGCAACATCCAGTTGTGGATATAGGAATTGATCAGACACAGCTATTTTGTGACAAAGCATATGAGGCAAGTTATTCCAAGTATCAGTGCTGTATTGAGGGAATTAGCCAGTATCCGCAGTTAGATGCATTCTGTGTCCTGTATTCACATTTATCTCTTCTGCCAAAATTTAGATTAGATGTTCCTCTGCTGAGGGGATCCTGTCTCCATAAAAAGGCAATACAGTGCTGTGTCTGGTGTCATGTCAGTCAGAAGCAATGCCATCAAAAACAAGTTTATAGAAAAGCGGAGGAAGAGCTGTCATACCACAGTACTGCAAAAAGAAGAATCAAAACAGTTGGAGACAAAGACTTGGTTTTTTGGCATGCTGAAAATGTTGCTTGGCTTCCTATTGCAGTTAACAGAAGTAAAACTACCCATGGCATTAAAATGGAAGATAAACAGAATAAGAAATCAGCATAGCTTACTTTTCAAGAAATTGCAGTATAATACTGAAACATTGTGGAATAGTGAAATCTATAGCTTCCTTTAAATACATTCTTCAGCATTCTTTATTCTCTTTGTCTTAAAAAAATACTTAAGTGACTTTTGGTGGGCAAATTTAGAATTTTTAAAACAATTTGTGGGCTTTCTCATAAAATGGCCGCCCTTATTCATAAAATGGCTGCCATAGGAAGTATGTCCTGTCAAAGAATGGCAGTTTGCCAGGAAACAAACTGGTGAAGGGGATCTTGCCATTGTGGAATGATATCCAACTGTCCTAGTTTATCATGGGTTTTTTTTCTGTATCAGCGGGCACATTAATAAGCAAAGCAATAGGCTCTAATAACTCATTATTTTCTGCGAATGCCTCTGGGTTGATGTAGGGTCTAGAAACATTCTTGGAAATAAGCATTATGTGAGAAATTTCTTTGTAGAATTACAGCTTCTCTGAAAAGAAATAAAAAGAACCTTGGAAACAAAACCACACAGAAGCCAAATGTATATCAAAGGAGGTATTTACTAACACCAAATGTCCTGTTATGGTCTAATAATATGGCTACAAACCTTGCAGCTCACATGCCTTTTCTTCTACTCCTTTCCTCTGAAGAGACGGTGTTTTTATGTTAACCACACTTAACAATATATGTAATCAAAACTATGGTTTAATTTATCTTTCTTTGGAGAAATTATGCTGAAAGCACTTCAAAAAAGCCCTGGAGAAAAGTCTCATGACTCCACTGTAAGAATACTTGAATATTGGAAAGGCTATTGGCAGTGGCCCCCATTCTCTTCATGCTGATTGTAGAAGCAATGGATATTTAAAAACAGGTAATATTGTGTGGAGGCAGAGAAAACCCAAGTTAGAAGACAACCTTATAGTTTGGGATTATCAGTCAATCCAGGACATTGGGATCACAGAAGAACACAGAAAGAAGAACACGTGAGAGCCTATATTGATTAGCAGGCAACCTTTCATCCTAAATTAAGGGCTTGCTTCTGTAGAGAGCAAGATTATTTTAATACTGGTATTAGAAATTATAGTGGCAATATGGTACATTCATATTATTCTAGATGCTATCTGATTATTGGAGGAGGTGAGCTATGGACTTAATGCAATACCTGGCTCAATTTGGGCCTTAGCAATCAAACACTGATGACCCAGACTGCCTGTGTAATGTTTTCAGATACCCACTGTTTATTTATGTAATCTCATGCATACTCCACCTCCAGGAATACAAATAATAGCTGTCTGAATTCATGCTTTGCATAAAACCCTAATATTTTTTGTTTGGTTGACCAGCCAAATGTGTTGCATGGTAGGAAATCAGCATAGATTTATAATGGTGTTTTCTGGTTTAGCATATTGTAAAGCAGGGATGTCAAACTCAAGGCTCGTGGCCCATGGAGTGCTTAGATCTGGCCTGTGGGGCCACCCTGGAAACAGTGAATAATTGGTCCACAGTGCCTCTGCCAGCAAAATTGGAGCTTGGGAGGGCCGCATAGGTTGCAGGAAGCCATCGCAGCCGAAAATGGAGCTCACAACGGCCGTGCTCCTTTTTTTCTGGCAGAGCTCCATTTTTTCTGGCACAGGGTTCCAGGAAGCTGTCGCAGCCAGAAATGAAGCTCGTGAAGGCTGCATACACCCCCCCCCCCCAGGCTCTGTTTTTGATGGTGGAGAGTTGTAGGAGGCCATCAGAGCCAGAAACAGAGTTTGGGAGTCTGTTTTCACTGCCAGAGCACTTGGGCCACCACAGGCACCCCTGACATAAGTGATGTTGAACTGGCCACACCCACTTTGCCCTCCCTGGTCAAATACAACCCTGATGCAGCTCTCAATGAAATTGAGTTTGACACCCTTTCTGTAACGTATTCTACAAACCCAGGCCGTTAATATAGTCAACCCATCATAATTATACAAGCAATTTCAGCATGATGTGAGAAACTACCACTGCTTGGCTAGAAGAGCAGGAACAACTCTTCTGCCAGAGAAACTATAGCTTCACCAGGAGAGATGAAACACCAACTTGTGGATTGGCATGCTGTTAGTGAGACTGGTCTGGCCATCTCATTTCTTTATAAGAAATCCACACCTCTTTATAAACTGTTTATAAGATAGTTGGTTAACTGCCTCATATCTGACTTGACCTTATGTTAATTTTGAAGGATTGGGTGTGTGCAAGATTTATAGTAAACATAAGTCTGCTAACTAGTACAAAATCATACCTGGGAAGTTGAGTCATGGGTCTACATACCATACATTGGAGTAGGCTCCCTATACAGTAACAGAGAAAACTTTAGGTTTACAGAATAGGCTTGCTTGGTTTATGTGGAAGACAGGCTGTTTGAGAAAACTACAGGTACCTATACTCCTTCCTTAACAGTAAACTTGACACAGGTTAGAGGGAGATACATTGTTTTGGGGGCTTTGCCTCCACCAATGACTGGAGAAATCCAGGAGTAGAAAAGATAAAGGGTATTTTTTCTCTCAGAGTGTAGATGCCTCAGAGGAAAAAAAAGCCTGAAGGCCCAGCATGAAAAAATGTAACTTGGACTGTTGTAAGAGGTCTGCAATGCTGGTCATTAAAAAGGACAATAGAGGGGGAAATGAAGACATTCCAAAGACACCAAAGGGGAAAAGGGGGCTCTATAAGAAGAAAGCATCAATAGTATATATAAACAGAGAACTTCTGTATGTTGTAGAGTGCAGAGTACAATCTAGAGGTAATTTTAAGTGCAATAGTACAGAACAGGCATGTCCAACCCTTGGCCTGTGGGCCACATGAGTCCATGGATAGCTAGTAATGGACTCCAAAAGATTGTAAACTTCTAACATTATTACATGCATTTTATATACATTCAATATATGTTTGATATATGGCCCTAGACAATTCCTTTTCACCCAGTATTGTTCAGGCAAGCCAAATGATTGGACATGCCTGGTAGAGAAGAACAGTAATAGGAACAGAGTGTAGACATGATAGGAAATATCCAATATATATTTGTGAGTATATAGGTAAGTTTTACACATTGCTCTTGTGATTTACAAATTAATAAGTTTCCAAATCTGTTAGAAGATACAAAATAAACTACCTGGTCCAGAGCCCAGTGTTTTTGCATCTCTCTAGACCAGGGACCCCCAGGCCAGGGCCAGTGGTGGGATTCAGCCAGTTTGCACCACTTTGGGAGAACCAGTTATTAATTTTCTGAGCAACTGGTGAACTGGTTATTGGAATAAATCATTAGGGCATAGAACCAGTTGTTAAATTATTTGAATCTCACCACTGGCCTTGGCCCCTTGGGAACTGGGCCATGCAAATGACATGCGAAACTAATCGCCTTTTCGCCACCACCACCCCCGGTCTGCAGAGTGGAAAGATTGGGGACAGCTACTCTAGAGTCTGGGTCAGTCTAATTGGGTATGGTTTCAAAAAGAACCTGTGCAAATTTAACAAATGTCAAAGCATTATTGGAAAAGCAACATTGTGTATTGCTATACATTTCAGAGGAAAAATTATATGATATATTGTTGGCATTTTACATGAAGCCAAATGAAGATTTTTTTAAAACACAAGGCAAAAAAACATGTACCTGAGATGCAATTTATCTACACTGTCTGGTGCTCTTCTAGTATACAAACATTTTCAATAATGATGGTAATAGCAAAATTATTAGCAAAAAAAAAAATGGTAAGAAAGGGGGGATTTTTAGTTTGAAGCTGGTTGTTGTGTCTGCATTTTAATGCTTTATATAATTTTTAATACAATATATATTTTATTATACATAAAATTGACTTCACTTTGTATAAATGTTTTTTTCTATATAAAGACATGTCTGTCCTTACCATTTAAGATGTTCTGCTTGTACTCATTTTATTAAGTAATTTGGCTTAATAAAATATTGCCTAGGTTGACATACTTTGGAGATACAATATTTAGTCTATATTTCAGGGTACCATGCCTTTCCATTAGATAGTACCCCTACTGTACTCCCATCATTCTGTTTCAGCAAAAAGTGTGCCTTTCAGTTTACATGAACAAGATTAAAGTGTCAGAATTCATACATACATACATACATACATACATACATACATACATACATACATA